GCCGGGACTGAGGGGGGCAGACGCCGGGACTGGGCCAGGATGGCAGCAGACTGCTTCAGCTCATGAGCCCAAGCTGTGCAGCTGGCCTGTATGTGGCTGGACAGAACCTCGGTGACCTCCCCACGCCACACACTCAAAACTATTTAGCCAGTGGTCTTCTGTGCCATTTCTGAGTGCTTGGCATATCGGTGGCCAGAAGGGACCCCCAGCTCTGCCCTCAGGAAGCTTACATTCTAGAAATACTAGGGACACACAGCTATGCTATAACGAGGCACTATCATATTGAAAGTGCAGAAAAATCAAAGTCAAAGAGAAAGTGATAAGATCTATGGAAAACAGCAAAGGAGGATGGGAGTGCTGAGCGGGAGACATGGCCGGACTGCAATAGCGTAGCCTACTGAGAAGGTGATGTTCAGTGAAAGCATAAAAGGCAAAGACGTGGGGGGCTCATTGTGCGGACCCCAGGGGGGGGGAAGTGTTCCCACTGACGTGAATACTAGTGGAAAGGCAGCTTGCTTCCAGGTGTCTGTCAGGCCCAGGGTCTCAAAAGACATCTGGAGACGAGAAGACTGTTCTCAGGAAGCAAAATTCTTGAACATAGCTCGCAGGCCAACCAGCGCACGGCTCTGACCGCTCCGTGTACGGCAGCTCAGGGATAGCTGGAGACTGACTCTGGATTCTCACTGGCAGGTCTCCTTCCTGAATATGTCCTGAGGAGAAGAGAGCAGATGATGTACCTGGAAGAGGCTTGGGTCACTGTTTTTGCAGCTCAATTAAAGTCTGCTGTCCCACACTTGCGCATCGCCCTTGCTCTCTGTTTCTGAGGGGACCTACGTCAGCCACCACTTTGCGTGGATCCCTATTGCGCCACCTCCCTCACAGGGCAACTGCCTGCTGGCTGGGCTCTTAACTTCCTGGCTGGGCTCTGTGGTTTCCTGGTTCATGCTGATGATTGTCTTGTTCCGGAGAAGATGGACTTTGTTTTTGTTTTTTATGGTACTATGAATTGAACCCAGGGTCTTTACAAGGAGGTATTTATTTATTTATTTATTTATTTATTTATTGACAGAGTTTTGCTAATTTGTTAACTTGTCTCAGTCAGGCTTGAATTTGTAATCCGCCTGCCTCAGCCTCCCGGAGTCCTGGGATTAGAGGGATGCACCACCACTTCCAGGGAAATGGATCTTCGAGATGTTGATGTCTCTGAATCTCCCTGACGGAGCAGTTGCCTGAACAGGGAAAGGTTGTTGTCTGGCTCTCCGTGCAGAGGAGGGTCAGAAGAAAGCAGTGCAGGAGCTGGTGGGCTGGGCACTTGTTTGCGGTGACACCCCGAGTGGCGCCCGGGCCTCCTGAGGGCCAGGTCAGGCCCAGCACTTACTGAGGCTGCTCAGTGCCAGGGAAATGCGTGTTAAGGGTGCCATACAGCCTGCTCAAGAGCACGCTCGTGGCCCTACAGGTAGAGTTTCATCACCATTTCCGAGAACCCACTCTGTCCCAGACCCCACTCACCTCAAAATATAGAATGGAAGCCAGTGGGGGTCCACCCTGTGTGTGGCTCCTGGGGGTCAGGTGAGACATCCTTCTCTTGGTTGTTCTGATTTCTTACTTTTCCCCAAGTCCTCAGACCCCCATTTGGACTGTGGTGTATTTCAGTTTAAATGTAATTTGCGGCTGGGGAGGCTCGGGAGACAGCTTGGTGGTCTAAACACCTGGCTGGCAAGCACAAGGACCCTGTCACCACATGCCATGCCAGCCCCAGGTATGGTAGCGCATGCCTGTAATCCCAGCACTGGGAAGGCTGAGACAGGAGGATCCCTACTAGTCTGAGCTGCATAGTGAGACCCTCTACCAATAAATAAATATATATTTTTTTAAATTTTAAAAGTAATTTGCTTAAGCCTCTCTCTTGGACCCAGTTCTAGAATTAGACCCTGGGCTTTTACCTGATGATCAAGAGGACAGAGAGACAGTCCTAACTGTTGATGGAAGTGTTAGAGGCTTGCACTGTTTAGAGGAGAGGCTTCAGCCCCCCCCCCCGAGAGGGGGAGGCACCTGCATTACTCTGATGCCTCTACCTCCAAGGCCACTGGTCTGAGTGTGTGGCTCAGCCCTGGCAGAAGACCAGTTGGCCCTTGGCAAATGTTCCTTGCCTGAAAATCCTGCTCCTTAATAGACTTCCCAAAAGGAGATGAGGGTTTTCTAGTCTGGCACATAAGAAAGTTAGAAGTCAGCACCATCACCCTTACAATAAGAAAATGTCAGGGGCTGGAGGTGGGGAAAGAGAAAAAGAAGACAAGGAAGAGGCTGAGAAACTTAAGCTATCAACTCTCTGTCCATTAGAGACCTGAAGCCCTAAGGTAACTGTAGTGGTTGCTACCTTGTGTCAACTTGAGAAGTTTCAGAGTTTAATTACCAGAGCCCAGGCTGTTACTTTGTAAACATCCTCATCCTGTGCCAGAGGAGGGGGCAGACATTATGTAGTTCTACACCCCCTCCCATGGCATGGAGGCCCCTCTCTGGGCATGGAGGGCCCACCCTAGAGTGACTCAGCACTTAAAGCATATATAAAAGGGTTTGAGGAAGGATAGAGGGTCCCAGTTTCTTGGGGGAGCTCCAGTCTTTGCAGTCAGCATTGAAGGAAGACATGTTTTCCAGGAGCTTCTCCCTTTGCTCTTGCTGTATTCTGGCACTGTGAACTACTGCCCTCTGCCATGTGCCACTCTGCCTTGGAGCCAGCTGAGTATGGACTGAAACCTCCACTAACTATGAGGTTTCCTTTTTTAAATTTGAGTGTCGTTTATTTTGTCCCAACAACAAGTGAAAAGTAACTGAGACATTAAGTGTCCATCTTTAAAACTGGAAAGATAGACAGGCAGATATAGAAAGTTATAATAGCTCACCAGGAGCAGAAACTCAACAACTGAAACTCACCACTGGAGCCAGTACCAAGGTAGGTAGGAGAACATAAATTGTAATTGAATTTCTGGATGTTCTGTGTGGACAAACTAGAGAGTTAATTTCAGGGGCCCAGATCTACCTAAAGGGTGCTGCCATTTTGTATTTTATTTTCAGGGCCCCGCTCAGTTCCACACAGTGGAGACTGAGGAAAAATCACTTAGTGCTTCCAGTGGAAGTGGAAAAGTAGCTGATCTGAAAATACACCCAAAGCATTCAGCTCTCCCCCTTTCTCCTACTGGGAATTGAACCCAGAGTCTTTGCACTAAGCAACAGCCCCAGCCCTTTTTAGTTTTTAAAATTTGATTTTGATACACGTGCAATGAACAGCATGAGTTAGAGACCAGTCAAGCAGGCTTGTGTGGAGACAGCCTGGCAGGAGGTTTATTAGACCTGGGTACAGGCAGGTGGAGGGTGAAAGGGCTATCGGTAGAGAACAGAGAAAAGCAGGGCATCTTCTAGGACCTGCAGGGAAAGTGGTCATATGAGAAAATCAGGAGAGGGGTGCATCACGTAAAGGGTCTGAACAGGCGTCTGTGACCAAAACTCTCAGATAATCCAGGCAAATGTATAGATGTTATGAGATGTCTGGCACCAAGGAGATCTCCTGTCCTGCCTTATCTCTTCTCTATGACACCCTGTCCCATTTGTCCAGGGACAACATGACTTGCTTTATAGTTTCCTACTGTTTGAGGATGACCACACACTGAAAATGGTGGGTGCTGGGAAAGTGGAGACCAGGTCAAGCCTGACATTCCCATCCTTTTGTTATTACAGAAAAACAGAAAAGGGAGGAGTAGAAGGGGAGATGGTGCTGTTTCTCATGGCCACTTCATGTGCGACTTAAGCACTGAGCAGGCAACCTAGTGGGAAGGGAGGTTGTGAGGAACTGCTTTACACTGAGATGAAGAGAAAAAACATTTGTTGATTAGCGATTGTTTGAATACATCCAGTTCTATGAAAACTGTGACAGGGTCCCAAGAGGAGGAGGGTCATATAGACCAGAGGCCCTGCTAAGGGAAGAAACCGTGATGCCAGCCCTGGATATTAAGCCTGGACTTGAATCATCTGAATGCTGAGGCCTTTACGTAAGCCTTTTTGCTGCATCTCACACTACGCCTGATCGATTCACGGGAAAGCAGTCTTCTGTCCTAGCAAGACGCATCAGCCACCTGTTTCATAAGAGATCTAGGCCTCTCTGGTTCAGGAGGGTTACTGGTGCCAGAGAATCAATCTGGGTTGGAAAGATGACGATGCTCTCACTGAGAAAAGGAGAGAGCCAGAAAGGTCATGAGGGCAGCTGTTCCCAATCCCACTGCGGCGGTGATCCCCACGCCACCGGCAAGAGGGAGTAGCTGCGTGGCCCTGCGCTGTTGAACTTGGGCCTTGCCTGTGGCAGGCAGGCTCTGGTTTCCTGGGGCTGTGTCTATTTGGGGCGTAAGATATCCCAGCATACAGGTTCTGTCCAGTTAGTGGGGAGGCTCAGGTGGGTAGAGGTCCCACAGAAGAAGAAAACCATATGACTAGCTAATCAGAATTGATGATGGATGCCAAAAAGACGCTTAAGCCTTTTGTCCTCACTCTCCCAAACATTTCAGGTACCGAACAGGACATCACCCACGAGTGGTGGGAAAGGCCCTCTGGTTTCAAGAGGAGTTGGCTAGTAAGTACGGTAAGGTTTTCCCAGTGAAGGAAAAACCTCTTAGGGTCTGTCACGAACCATCTGGGGGAACTAGGAGACAGAGCAGGAGGGTCTGAGCATGGGGGCCCCACGGATGGATATTTGCACTTTGGAGGTGACAGCTATTACAGAAATGAGAGCATTTGTAGTGACAATCTGGGGAGGGGTTGAGACTCGAACAGGTTGGCTACAGGGGGGTCCTGAGTTGTTAGGTGACTGGCATGACCTAGAAAGGCCAGCAGGACTAACATGAAATTGCACTGGTGGGGAGAAAAGTGTCCAAGCGGTGACCCAAAGACACATTGTGCTGAACAGATGGGGAGCTTGGAAAGTTGAATCAGTGTTAGTGGTTCCTGGGCCATCTGTGAGTCTATGTTTTTTATAGGAAGTGAAGCCAGTAAGGTAAGTGTGTAAAAGCTAAACTGTTCCAGTCAGTGCATTTCCCTTTTCTATAGCCACAGCAAAGAGAAAACTCCAAGGAGAAAAAGAGGGCCCTATTCCCTAGAGACTAGTGTGCATAAGTGGGGATCCCTCTCCTATTTGGGCATGGTGAGTAGGATTGGTGGGAGCCCAGCCCGGGAGTGGACTGGGTGTGGACTCCTAAGTGGCAGCGAACATGGAGACTCAGAGCCAGCAGGCCTGGACCAGAGAGGGGCTGGGTGGGTTAGTTGTGCTGTCCTGGACACATAATTGGGTGCTCATGGGGAAACAAGGGTGGGCATCTGCGGCGACTAGGAAGATCATGCCGGCTAAGGGATGCGTGAACAGAAGGCATTTCATCCTGGAGGCAAGAACCAACTGAGTCACAGCACCAAGAAAATAGAGCATACTGGTGCCAGAAAATCAATCCCCAAAAAGAGACACGATGGAAATGGGGTGTCTTAGGTCTGTCCAATCTGTCATGAACTTCTCTGGGACCCTCTAGGATTCAAGGGAATTTGAGCGAAGTTGGGGAGATTTACTTGCAGTTTCTACAAGGAAGGTTCAGGCAGCCTGTCAGTAGGGTACAGCTCTACCCAAGAGTGATGAGTCCACTGAGCAAGATCTCATAGGCGACAGCTGTCGGGTGCTGTAGATAACCAGGAAGGGTCCTCTCCACTTGCACTGAAGGGACTGAGGGCATAAGCTTTTTAGCCAGGCCGTCTTCACGTGGTTGAGTGTTCCGACAAGGCAAAAGGTTACTGGCACGTCTGTGTCTTTTTGAACTTGCTGTAGGTCAGGGACCCACTCTCCCATGGGGTTAGGGTGTGGGCTGAGATGTGGAACACGCATGAAAGGTACAGCCATACAGAGGTTCAAATGTGCAGTGTCCTGTAGGTTCCTGGGCGCTGCTCCAATGAGGAGAGTGGTCAGAAGCAGGGAAACGCAATCTGCACAGAGCTGGAGTTTG